CAGGTGAAAGCCACAGGGCGCTCTGAAGTGTGTGTGTGTGTGTGTAATCAAGCCACCCCCAAAGTTCCCCCCAATGCTACAATGCCGTCAAAGCTGCTGCAAGCGAAGACGCTGCAATGCGAACTAAATCAGGCACAATTGCCGGCAGCAAGGACCAACCTTGGAAAAAGGTCCACGCATCATCAAGGCCATCACGGGAGAGACCATCTGCAGGGCACTACCCGCAAGCAGAAGTAGTACGCTACTACAGAACGCAACGCTGGCGGCTCAGCTTGCACTTGCACCAGGATATTGGACCCCAGGCTCACTGACTCCTTGGAAACACCTTTGGACGCCAGAGTACATAGAAGAGAACGACTGCATCAATCCCTCCTGAGTTCTCGGGTCCAAAGGTTCCTCAGCATCGTCTGCCACGCCGTCAAGGCGTCTCTTGCGAGCCTGTTCTACTGTGGATTGGGCTTCTTTCCATGCTGTGCGTAGTCTTGACAACTGGACCAACTCATCTTGGCAAGGCGACTTGTCAAAGATCAGGGATTTCAACTCAGACTCGAACGCCTTGCTATCGACTATGCCCACAAAATCTGCCAAGCTCTCCAGGCCTACTTTTGTCAAGTGCTCAATCAAAGGGTCTGCAAGGCGGTGTTGCCGAAACAATTGCAGCAATGCCTCCTTATCTTTGGCAACAGGCTTAGTGCCAGGAGCTGGCATGGCTAGGGTTGGAACTGCATTCTACACATGGGCCGCGACTGCAGCGAGCAACGGAAAGTCAAACACAATGGTTGAAGCTCTGCAGGTCGTGTAAATGCACGTGTAAAGCATCATCCCCAACAACAGACTAGCAAGTTAAAAACCAGTGCACAAAAGCTGAAAGCTTGCCACAAAAAGGGTGGAGCCAACACTACACAAATTAAGGCCGAGGGCCGAAGAGCCACGCAACCACAAGGGCTGCGCGAAGCCCCTGAAGCCCTGAAACCCGACATGTCTCGCGTGACTGAGGGAATTTGAAAGTTGGCAAACACACAAATCTCCGTAAACCTTCGTCCCAGATCAGTAAAAGACTAGCCTGGCCAAGCAAAGAGTGGATGCATCCCTACGACAACAAAAACAAGCGTAGGTCAATGGCCGAAGGGCCGCGCACCGAAAAGGCTGCGCGAAGCCCTCAAAGCCCTAGAACTGGACATGTCATGGTGACTCGGGAAAAGCTGCCCGTCAAAACAAAGGGGGCGCAACCCTGCAACAGCAGAAACCCCAGCAAAAGCCGAAAGCTTGCAAGAGAAGGGGGGCCAGCGAAACCCCAGAAGCCCTGAAACTGGACATGTCTCACGTCACTTTGGATGAACTTGCCAATCAAATCTTTTTTTTTTTATTAAAAAAAAGGAGTTGGCACAAACCCGCATCTGCAAGAGAGGGGGGCCAACAAACAAACAACAATTAGAGCCGAAGGGCCACGCACCCAAAAGGCTGCGCGAAGCCCCCGAAGCCCTGAAACTGGACATGCCTCACGCCACTCGGGGAAAAGCCTGCCGTGTGAAAGGAAAACAAATCAAATAAGAGTAGGCACAACCCCGCAACAAGAAGCCTTTGCCAAAGCTGAAGCTTGCAAAGAAACAGGGGGGCCAACAAGACATAAATGTAGGCCGAGGGCCGAAGGGCCACAAAACATGAGTGTAAGGCCCCCGAAGCCCTGAAACCCGCGTGTCTTGTGTTGTCAGGAAATTTAGTGGCAAACACACTGACCTATTACGCACAGCCGCAGAATTCTTTCACTGTCTATTTGCAGGAGTCGATTGCTCGTTTAATGTGCGGTGGAACGCAGGCTTGGCATTTGGCACAAATCTGCAAGCCTGGCTCTATTCCGATGCCCCACTCCAAGGGAATTCCCGCAAACGGAGTGCCACGGCACCAAGGAACAGGTTGGGATTGGGAGCGCTCACGTGCGATATGAGAAACCCCACGGGCAAAACGAAACCACTCTAAGTCATGCGGCAACCCTTCGTGACTTGAGCCACCGTCGGAAGAGGACGAAGTCTCGTCACTGCTTGCTTCGCTGTCACTTCCCTGGCAATTTACTGGTTTGTCTGCTGGAGGAGTCAAAGCAGAATGTCGATTTAAAATCTGCTGCCAGCTGAGCCCTTTTGTGCGGAAAGACTGCCAATCGAGCGGCCCGGATTCTGTCTCGAGCAGCTCCTGAACTGCTGCGCACAACAAAGCTTTAGTGTGCCCAGCGGAGAGCACTCTGTCATGAGCATAGTGCTGGCTCATCTGCACTGGCATTGGCTGGGCATGCTTGGTCGTAACTGACTCCGTCCAGTTTCCCAAGTGTTGGGCAACTTCCACTGGCGTTCGCAAGACCTCTGCTACACTTGGCAAAAAACGTCGCAAAGAGTAAGTGCTGATAAGGCCCACTTCTGCATCAGGCAAACCTTCGCTACGTAACACTGAGTGCAACAGCTTCACAAAGCGCGCCATTGGCATCGGGGCTGCTCGCCAATGCGCACGCTCGTCCAGGCAACCGGAGGGCCCACAGGCAACATCTGGGATACAAAAGGACAAGTCAGGCACCTGGCTGCGCAAGTCAATGATGACCCTTGACGCTAAGCCCAAAACATGCTTCCACTTGCCAACATGCATCGGAGCAGCCCATTCGAACGACGGCCGCGTGCCATGTTTGCGCGACTTGCCCTTCAAGCAAACCGCGCGAGCAAAGTCGTGGGACAGCGTCCAATCAGCTGATCGCTGCGCGTGGGCGAACCTCAGGCAAGCCACTAATGGGATAAGGGCTAAAGATGCGAACGTAGCAACGTTCGTGGAACCACCAAGGGCCAGCTTGCAGAGCGCCTGAAAAGCACGAAAGCTCAAAGGCACACGAGGCTGGATAGAGTGTCCCTCGGCCACTCGGTTCCACGTTGCAACCATGGGGTCGCCCAGCGGGAATGGTATGCCGACATGCCGACGCCACCATAACAGCTTCTGGAAAAGTCCTTGCGCTGCAGTTGGCCCTCCGTCAGACGCTTGCTTAAGGAAGGAAAAAAAAAAGCAGGGCAACCGGAGGCAACAGAACTTCTGCAGGCCCTTTGCCAAACTGCAACACATAATTGGCCCACCGCCTCAGGGCGCTGAGTTGCGCCTGCAGAGTGCGCCGCTCAAAGATCTGCAGCCGACTCGCCAGGCCTTCGCGAGCAATGGCCTGGTGCTCCTCAAGCAACGGTGACCACAACTCGCCATGCGTGCCAAGGGCGGCATAGATCTCCCAGCAAGCATGGACCATCTCAGAGTGCTGGTGAACTGGCCTCAGGGCAGTCAGAGCATTCTGCGACCACTGAAAGGCGCCCGGCGCAATGCTACCCACAAGCCTGCACCGTTTGACAGCAGGCACAGGGAGGCCTTCAACAGGGCGAGCGCACTGCGGGGCTCCACTGGCACGCCTGGCAAGGAATGCCAAAGCGCCACGGGCAAGCTCGATGTACCATCCAGCTTCCTCATCGTCAATAAAGCCAGACATGGCTGTCACCAGCTCATCCGGTCGCAGGCCAGCAATGTCTGCATCGCACATCAACCCAGAACGGCGCATGCGCTCGATCACTGCACAATGAACGCCAGATTGGAAGAACTGCGAAAAGTCAGGCTCTGCAGGCACTGTCAAGGGTATTGCCTCTGCAGGCACTGTCAAGGAGGGCACAAGCGCAGGGCCATGGCCGTGTCCATGAAAATGCCGTTTCATACCCAAGAAAATGTGCGCCCTGCAGCTAGCCTGACTTGAACCATCAATCAATCAATCAAGGCGCGTGCTCTCAATCCTCTTTCTGCCAAACCCATCCAGGCCAAGAAAGTTTGAAGTGGACAGCAGCCAGTGGCAAAACCCACACAACTACCCCTCAGCCAACTCACGAAGCTCCAGTTGCAAAGGCCCAAAGAGCCACCAGCGGCCAAGCAACTCCAAGTCCGCATCTTCTATGGAGCTCTCAACGGTAGTGACCGCCGCAACCATCTCCTCATCCCAAATCCTTGGGGAGCGAGCCAGTTGTGATGCAAGAAGCTTCACAGCACGACCTGGACGAACGGCTTTCCCATGGTAGAGGGGCACCGCCAGCTTTGAAGCAGCCAGACTTGATGCGCACCGGCTTTCTGTTCGCAGTGGAACCCTGCAAGCTGCAAAGACGCAGGGTGGCAAGGCAAGCCTTCCATGAGCAGGCCAGCATGCCTTGTCTTAGGTCCTGGGCGAGGTGAATTGAATCCAAACAAGTAGACTGCTTCAGGGTACCGTGAGGCTGTGAAGAGTGGCTGCCTTTCTCAAGAAATTCACGTCACACCAGTGACCCAGATCCCCAACTTTGTTCTACGTCTTGAATGGGGCAGCTGTTTCGATGGGCCAAGCACGTGGAAGGTCCCACAAAGGAGTCAACCCAATCCAGGGACCTCCCCAATTTCCGCCAGAGTGTCAGCAGCACGGTGTCCCCGTCGTGGTCGCCACACATCAGCTCCGCGTCCGCCGGGCCGCTGCGCTCCCCCGCGTTCAGCACCACTACGTTGACGAGGTGCTGCAGGCCTCCGGGAGGGTTGAATCTCATCCCCGCAAAACGAGTGAAAGATCCCTTCTGAGACGGGAACATCCACCTATGAACCAACCAGTCCCAGAACCCTCTCAAAAGACTGGTGAAACCTCAGCGCAAACCAACTCCTCAGCTTGGCCCACGCCTTTCTCACCTCAAAAGCTTCCCAGTCCCAATCCTCCGAGCCTCAAGCCACCACTGTTGAAGCCTTTCAGAGTCCCGAGCGCCGCTTAGCCGAAGCCAAGCCCGAGGCCCGGCCGAAGTCCAAGCCGCGCGCCTTCAGGCGCAGAGGGCACGCGCAGCTTCAGCACGGAGCTGCTGTGATAGCAAGGGCTGCGGATCAGCAAAACCTCCCGGCCTCGCTGCAAACACGAGCCAGGCCGTCTGAAAAAAAGGAAAAGCATGGCAAGGGTGGCCATTGAGTCCCCCAGTTGGAAGACTTTACAGGCGCGACCTGGTGAAGCGCATCCGAGAACCCAACAGACCTGGCGCCACGCCGCGGCGGTGCCCCGCCTGCAAGAGAGACACTGTGGCCCGGCAGCTGCAGGAAGCACTCGCCTTTCTGGAGCTGGCCTCAGCGTCCCAGGGGCCCTGAATTCGAAAGGACTCGCAAAGCAGCGGTTCGCTCACAACCCAAGCACGCGCCTCCCGTTTCAGCTTTTTTCTTCGCCGGGTTTGGCCGAGGGGCGGGTGTGGTCCGGCACGATCCAGGCGCGGTGGGCGCGCCGCAGCGGCAGGCGCAGCTCCTCGCAGGCGCGGCGCCGCAGCGCGGCGCAGGCCCGGAACCGGCAGTCCTGGAAGTTGGGCTCCCGCCTCGGAAATCTTCCAAAACGGTCAGCACATCCGCCGACCCCTTGCAAAGTGCGAGGCGCACGAAGGGTGGTGGTCATCATCATGGCTGCTGGGTTTTGTCACTTCTGTGCCGTTCTTTTCCCCAGCGTGCGTCTTGCTTCTTGCGTGTCAGGCATGACAAGTTGTTCGGGCTCGGATGTTTTCTCCAAGCTTGTCAACCAGCTAAAAAAGCCGTGTCCCAGGAAAGTCCACAGTCGTAAGATTGCGGGGGAGCGCAAAAACAAGCACGGCAGCAACCTGCACAAGTATCCACAGGGTTGCATTAGGAATCACAGTGTTGGACCTGTCGCTATAGATGCCAGTATCGGAGGCCTTCCGATTCCAGAGCCAACAGCCCTCAGAAAAACGCTGGCAATTTGCTCCCTTGATCTTCTTGGAAGTCAACCAACATTGCAAGTCTACTTTTGACCCGCCGGGCCCAGTGCATCCTGGTTCCCATCGCAAGGAAACCGGCAGCGCTTCCTTGCTTTGCACGGGCTCCCATGGTTTTTCCTTCCATGGACCGCCGAGCCGTGAAGCCCTGCCGTGCGCGTCCAAGCCGCCAGGGCCACTCGAGGTCGAGGAAGCCCAGCAGCTGCCGCTCCGTGCCCGGCGCCAGCCACTGCTCCGCCAGCAGCGCCTCCAGCGCCCGCCGGCCCTCCGCGGCCTCAGGCCCGCAGAGGACCGACTGCACGGTGCATGTGCTCGGTTTGTTCGTAGGACCATTTCAGAGTCGGAGTGCCAAAGGCTGAGAAATCGAATTCTATTTGCACTCTCGCACAACCGATCCCTCGCTAGGCCACATCCTCCTGCAGAACTGCTTCCAGTGCATCCAGGACCTCCTGCTGCCGCCGCACAAACAGCTCCGGAGAGACACCTAAGCAACAGTCGACCCTTTTGGTTTCCAGCAAAGGACATCAGCGAGACCCCTGGTGCTTTCTTGGAAACTGAGTGAGTGTCCCATGTCCTTCCCAAGTTGACTATGGACTGCTGGTCCTCACCTCCGGATTCCTAGCTGAGGCACCGAGATCTTCCAGGGCCTGGATGGAGTTGCTCGTCAGGAAGCTCTGCATGGGCTTGGTGGAGGTCCGCAGCCTCGGGCAACCAGATGCTTCACAGCCACAAACAAAACAGCTACAAATACAACATCAGTAGGCAATCTGTGGGTTGAATCTTGTGTGACGGAGAACCTGCGAGCAGTCTCGTCGCGTTCTGATGCCCTTCTCCCCCTGTTTAGCTACAAAACTTTTCGGATGGAAGGTGTCACCGCAGCGTGCTTAGGAAGCGTCAAAAGAGGCCCGCTTTGCTTTCCTTCCGGGGCCATCTTGGCTTCGCCCGCTGAAAACCTTGTCAAAGTCAGAAACTGGGCTCCTTCTTCCCTTGAGACCAGTTGCTGGGTGGACAGGTCTCCTCCATTTCTCCAAGGCACACCTCGAAGTCCAAGGGCTCCGAAGCCACCGGCGAGTGGTACTTCAGCTGGGACGGGCGCACCACCAGATCCACGTCCAGGGCCGGATCCACCACCCAGAGTCTCAGAGTTTGAAGTGTACGCACGAAATTGGCCGTCTCTCACAGCTGGAACCTCGCCAAAGTCAACATCTTCAGCCACGACTGAACACGTGGCCCAAGCGGGCGTGCCCACGTGCGCCTTGCGCAAGCTGGGGCCCACGCCCCTTGAAGGGCCCGCAGCGCGCTTGGAAGGTGCCTGGCCGCTCTTCCAAGCCCATCTCCCGCGCCACCTGGCCGAGGGCCGGGACGCCCTTTTGGAGGTGGCCCAAACCGGAGTTGGAACATGAGTTCTCATGAGATCCAACGTCAACATCCCGAACAAACACCGAAAATCCTCTGAAGCCGCAAACTGAAGCCAAAAACTCTGGGCAGAATGGTGCGGCAAGGAAGTAGATGGGCAACATCGGAGCGGTTCATTCTTTTGTATGCAGGGAGATACTTTGGGTGCATCCCAGCGCAGCTTTCCCCGTGCCTCATCTGCCTTGGCCAAAGAGATGGAGCCGCAGCCGTCTGAGAGGCAGAAGCTCCCGGAGATGTCCCTCGCGAGGCATCCACGTCGAAACAGACCCGAACCTGCCTCCCCATGTGCCAAGAAAAATAAAATGTGTGTGTGTGTCCTTTTACGAGAAACTCAGCAGGAAACACTTGAAAGGGCGAAGGCTCAGCTGGTTCAAGAGAAACTATAGAGATTAGAAGAGAATCTTCCGAGTTATGTTCAAATGGCGGTTCGAATGCTTGTTCAAAGGTAAGCTGTGAATGGTAGCGGCATCCAAATGTCAAAGGTTCTACACATGAGTAGGGTCCCGTTTACCTTGCCAGCTGGGTTTTGTCTTGATATGCTTGTTTGCCTTGGGATGTTTACCTCTATCTAAGGTCGTAGAAGTCGGCGACAGTTTCCATTCACGCTTGCCTTCTATGGCGGCAACTGCTAACATCGTTGCCATCTCCCAATCTGGCGTCCAAGTCTCAATCCCGGCAGGACGCAACAAATTCAAACGTTGTTTGGTTCCCTTTTCACGCCATCCAAGCGGATAACCCGAACCTGTGCATACCAGGTTTCCTTCAGCCCCGTGCACTGCCTGCCTGAGGTCCTCCCGCAAAGTGGCCTGCAGCTTTACTTCCGCCCGCGTCTCTGAAAAGGACAGCTGCAGCCGCTGGTTGTACTTGAGCAGCGACATCTCGCCCTCGGAAGTAAAAAGGTTGCCCAACGCGGCGTGTGGCGAAATGCAAAAAGATGGCCCCGACTTTCCAGCGATGGATGGATTGGAATTCCAGGGGCCTGCCCCAACCCTGCCCTGATGTCTGTTTCAACACGACTCCTCATGTCTAGGGCTCTCTTGTCTTGGCATTACACAGGAGGTAGGGGAAATCCATAAGTTGAAACATCCAGGGGTAAAACAATAACGGTTACGATGGAAGATGCACTGCAAAGAAAGTGCCTTTCTCAGACCTTGCCCTACCCTACCCTACCTCCCTCTAGCTATTTGGACACGGTTGTCTTACAGAAACCACGGTCAGCTGCGACTGTTTGACCGGCCTTTGGTTGGCAAGCTACTGAGTTACACACCAGAGTGTTCCAAAGATCCGAGACACGTGGCGCATGTCCTAAAACGCGAAACAGGCTAGGCATGATGCACTTGTTCTCCGTTGCAAACTTGCATGTATTCACGCCTCCGGAGGAAGCCCTTTTGCTTGGAAATCAGCACTTTCATTGGCCCTGACAGTCTGACCCTATGTGTCTTTTTCTTGCGACGAGATGCATTGGCATCCAGCGGTACCAGGGAGTCCATGAGGTCCTCACCGCTTTGAAGGCATTGGAGCCGTTCAGGTCAAAGTTGCGGACCAAAGACCGGGCAATCGCGTCACTTCCTTTAAGCATATCGAAGTTCATGGTCAATTGCCTGTTTGTATATATATATATATATATACATATATATATATATATATGTTAGGCAGGGCCTCTCGAGACTTCCGCGTTTGCCAGAGATTGCTCAACCAGGTGCAATACGATAAGAACACCTTGAGGCCATGCACGTCAGGCAAGGAATGCATTGAATCCAAAGTCGTGTCTGAGAATGCTGCAGTTTATGTATGCTGGACGGCTTTGTCTACAAGAGATTTACAGAAGAAAGTGTTCACACACATCGCCTGACCAAGTATGATCCCCCCTCCTCCCCCACGCTGGTCACGCTCGGCAAGAAAGCACGAGACTCCAAGGGCCGCACTACCTTGTTTGCCTCAAATTGAAAAGCAGCGAGGTACACATTGAAGGATGTGCTCAAAAACGGATGAACCCTGCGCGCGTAACGAGAAACCGACCGAAACCAGATGTTTGAGGAGTAATCCCCAATTCCTGGACACACCCATATTGCCCATTTAGAGTGGAGTTGGTTGCAAGCAACCCGACACTCCCGTCCCCGAGCCTCCACCTCCATGTCCTCTAAGCCAGGGCCGTGAGTGGCAAAGTAAGTGACCTCACGGTCTCTCGGAGGACTTGCCTGGCCCTGCCGAACCATTCTCCTCCGCTGCTTCCCTTTCTCGCCCCTTCCTCTTCACTTGGACTTGGCTTCTGTACTTTTCTTTTTTTTTCTCTCTCTCTCTCTCTCTCTCTCTCTTTCTCTTTCTCTTTCTCTTTCTCTCTCTCTCTCTCTCTCTCTCTTTCTCTCCTCAAGAATCAAATCCCGCAGAAAGGCGAAGGCAGGAAGCCTGAAGCCTGCCGGATGCCTTGAAACCTTTATCCTGAGACAAAGGCATGTATCTCTCCATCAACACAGAAGGGCTCGTTGCTTGTGGCCAAAAGGACTGACAATCCGCCTTTGAACCCTAACATGTGTCAATCGCTGCTCAAGCAAGTTGCCTCTGAACATGAAGCACAACATGCCGAGCCGGCCTTCTCATTGATTTCAATTCATGGACACGAAGTCCTTTAATTTCAGTACTGACTTGTGATCATTCGTGACTTGATGCCCTGCACCCCCTCTTCTGGCACACTGGGCAGCTTGAAAGCTTTCATGGCATGCGTATATGGCTGTGGGTCAAAACCCTGTACCACTGGTGATCAAAATAGGTGGCAAACGGATGATCATCCACCCCAACATGGAGCCATAGGTTATGCCCCATGGCCATATAGAGCTACGTTTGGAGCAGCAGAACCAGGGGGAGTTGGCGAAAACAACCCCAGCGTCTCATTTCGACGCGCGGCTCCAAAGCCCGGCTTCGCGCCTGGTCCGGCAAGCGCCAGTACACGCACCGCCAGCGCCGGCGCAGGAACTCGAAGCTATCCCTCAGCGGCGCCCCCGGCCTGCACCGAAAAGAGGAAGACGCCACCCAGAAAACACCCAAATTTCACTTGCTACAAACATCAGCCACGGAGCTTCAGCGAAGCAACAACCAGATGGGAGTTGACAAAACAGCGGCCCGGACTGTTTGTTGAGCAATCCCCACTTCAGAAGCGCCATGAATAATGGTGCGCGACACCTTTAGACCCCTTAGACCGGGCCAAGAGTTTGGATTCATTCTCCAAAGGTCTCCGGAGATGCAGCTTCCGCCGAGAGCCGAGAGAGACTGACTGCTCCGAATCCCTCCCACCTCCCCAGGCGAAGCGTCAGGAAGCGGTGGCCAAAGCGGCGCCCAGCACGGCAGTTCTTGGCCGGGAAGGGCGGGTGCAGTGTGGAGGCCTCGTCCGACGGGTAGCCCCGGGCTTCCTCGGAGGGCCACGTGGCCAGTTTGAAAACCATCAGTTTCCGGGTTTATGTGTGTGTGTGTGTTGTTTCAGGATCGGTTCCCAGTCTCTGGTGTAAGTTGTTTCACCTTTGCTTCCTCTAAGCCAGCCTGTTTCAAGCCGGACGCCGCTCAAAGCTTCAGAGCGTCGAAGCGGAAGCAGTCTGGGTCCAGGCCATCCGTGTCCTCCACGTCCTCCTGCGCTGCCTCGCGCACGCGCAGCCGCGCCAAGTCGCCTGGGAGGATCCGCCAAGCACTTCACCCAACGAAAGCCAAGAAGTTGACTCTGGCCCGCCTACGATGCCCCGCTCGCGGCGCAGGCGATCAGCTTCCCAGTCACGGAGGAAGCACTCTGCTGGGTCACCTGCGCAAAGCAAGGCCCGCCACAGGCCTGTGGCCATTGTCAACTCGCTGGGTGTCACTGAAAAGTACAGCGCAGCATGCTCAGCTAGTTCATTTGCCAGGAAGCGGCCGTAATATCTCATGTGAATCACTGCTCCCTTGCTTCGGTCTCAATCAAGAAATATCATAAGACCGCAGGTAGCAGTCACTCCAGCCACTCCTTGCATGCGGGGATCATGGGTCCGCTCGAGTCGACCTACCCACACCGTCAACAAAGGCTTGTAACCATGTTCAAATGAACAGGTCTGTCAGTCTGTCGAGCAACCCGGCTTCGGGCCTGGCTCGGTCCGCACGTGTTCCACCGGCAGATCCCACAGATCCACAGTGCTGCGGATGTCCTGCGGCGCGTGTCTTGCAGCCTCACGGTTGCATGTATTTGCGGAGGACTCGCAACTAGCGCCATCTTTCAGCGAATCACTTCTTTCATGTGTGCCTTTTTGCCCTTGCGGCCCAGCCGAATCTGCGTGGCTCCGAGGGCAAAACCTACAAAGTACACCAAACAGAGGTGTTTTGGGCAAGCCTTCTGGCGCTGCTCCAGCACCATTCCCATCCAAACACCCAGACTGACCCGTGGAAAGCCTCCGAGCAACAAGTCGACCAGTCCCCCCTCCACTTTATGCCCAGGAACGAATGGGCAGTTGCCCAACTTGAACCAGATAATACTTGCAAACGCGCCTGCCAACAAGGAAATATGGAATGCATGGGAAAGTGTCTTTTCTGCTCACAACCATTCAGGCTCTTAATCTTGGAAGGCGGCCTACTCCCCTTGTATATTGTCTGAGGTGTGTTGCGTCACACTCTTGGATCAATGGAAAACTGACCCCCCAAAAACCTCGTAATGGCTAGGGCTCATTCAGAAATGGCCCAGAAAGACAATGATTCGGTGTCACAAAAACCTGTCCTGCTCCAGCGCTTTCAGCCCACGGCCAAGTGCCCTCGCCCAGCTCTCGTGCACGTGAAGCGCGAGATGTTGCAGGTCCTGCAACAACTCAGCCTGTCGGCCAAGCTCTGCTTGAGGCATGCGACTTGAGAAGTCAGACTGTGAGATATTCTTAAACCAAGGCCTTGGAATAGATGGTAAAAGCTTCATAAGCAAACAGGCTGTCGCCGAAAGCAAGGCCTTTGCGTGCCGGGAAAGCACGACAATGCAGAAGCCCTTGGAGTGTCACTGAGCATCTCAGCCAGCCCAAGGGCTCTTGGCGTTGTCTGGTGGAAGGCGTGCCCAATCCGAATAACAAAACTGAGATTCTCCCCTGTTCTCCCCGAAGCGCTGGGGCTGCAGATCTTACCGCTCAAACAAAAGCGGAGCGCTCCTCACAGGTCCCGAGTTGGAAGAAGCGCCGCAGGGCACGCCAGAAGTGCACAGAGAGCAGTGCTGGGTCTAGCGCCGCTGCCAAGGCCAGGCTGTTGTAGAGCTCCCCAAGCCTCCAGGAGACCAAAAGCGCCCGCGCCGACTTGCTGGGACGCACACATCGTAGTCTCCAGAACTGCCCGGGAATAACAAAGCGCCCAGACCTGAAACGCAAATGGCCTTTGAGGTAACTCGTGCAAACCACCGACATTGCAAATCGTCCATCGAGGGCATGTAAGCAAGTCGTCCATCATAGTGGCATGCCTTTGTGCATTCATTCATTCATTCATTCATTCATTCATTCATTCATTCATTCATTCATTCATTCATTCATTCATTCATTCATTCATTCATTCATCATTCATTCATTCATTCATTCATTCATTCATTCATTCATTCATTCATTCATTCATTCATTCATTCATTCATTCATTCCATTCCCATTCCCATTCCATTCATTCATTCATTCGTTCATCCCCATCCCATCCCATTTCCCATTCCATTCCATTCCATTCCATTCCATTCCATTCCATTCCATTCCATTCCATTCCATTCCATTCCATTCCATTCCATTCCATTCCATTCCATTCATTCATTCATTCATTCATTCATTAATTCATTTCATTTCATTTCATTTCATTTCATTTCATTCAATTCATTCATTCATTCATTATTTCATTTCATTTCATTTCATTTCATTTCATTTCATTTCATGTCATTTCATTTCATTTCATTTCATGTCATGTCATGTCATTTCATGTCATTTCATTTCATTTCATTTCATTTCATTTCATTTCATTTCATGTCATGTCATGTCATGTCATGTCATTTCATTTCATTTCATTTCATTTCATTTCATGTCATTTCATTTCATTTCATTTCATTTCATTTCATGTCATGTCATTTCATGTCATTTCATTTCATGTCATTTCATTTCATTTCATTTCATTTCATTTCATTTCATGTCATGTCATGTCATGTCATGTCATGTCATGTCATGTCATGTCATGTCATTTCATTTCATTTCATTTCATTTCATTTCATTTCATTTCGTTTCGTTTCATTTCATTTCATTCATTCATTCATTCATTCGTTCATTCGTTCGTTCGTTCATTCATTCGTTCATTCGTTCGTTCGTTCGTTCATTCATTCATTCATTCATTCATTCATTCATTCATTCATTCATTCATTCATTCATTCATTCATTCATTCATTCATTCATTCATTCATTCATTCATTCAGTCATTCATTCATTCATTCATTCATTCATTCATCCATTCATTCATTCATTCATTCATTCATTCATTCATTCATTCATTCAATCATTCATTCATTCATTCATTCATTCATTCATTCATTCATTCATTCATTCATTCATTCATTCATTCATTCATTCATTCATTCATTCATTCATTCATTCAGTTCACTCACTCACTCACTCACTCACTCACTCACTCACTCACTCACTCACTCACTCATTAATGCATTCATGCATTCATGCATGCATGCATTCATGCATTCATGCAGTCATGCAGTCATGCATTCATACATTCATGCATCCATCCATCCATCCATCCATCCATCCATCCATCCATCCATCCATCCATCCATCCATCCATGCATTGATTCATTCATTGAATCATTCACTCATTCATTTGTGTAGTGGTTCATTTGTTTGTTTATGTACTTATGTATTGATTTGTTTATGTATCTATTGATTTGCTTGCTTTACTTATGCATTCATTTATGTGGCGTGGTTGTTTTACTTAATTTCATTTATTCAAGTCTATATACGTCTTTATGCATTTGCTCAATTATTGATGTACGTATTTGTCTATTCATTTATGTGCGCATTGATTATGTATTTACTTGGTAATTTGTTCATTTGTGCATTGACTTATTTATCTATATATGTATTTGTCTTAATTAGCTTTAGTGAGTTGTATATTTGTTTATTCAGATAGTTAGTTCACTATGTATTCATTTGTTGATTTGATTTCTTGATTTACTTATATCATGAATTCATGTCAAGTTCTGTACTAAACTAATTTCACCGAATTTAATTGAATTTGTTGTATCAATATATATATATATACATACATACATTATACCACATGTTTTTCCAACCTCCTCATGTTCCGCGGTCGCCCACAAACCCAGCCTGACAAACACATTCCCGAGGTTAGTTGCGCCACGCCCCCTGATTCATTTTAGGCAGGAATTGACTTGGGCTTCTTGGCTTGAGACGGCAGGTTTGATGCTAGCTTCTTTCTACTGTCAGTCAACTTGTTGTGACAACATGGGATTGTCTCCAAATACGGAAAGCCCTCAAAAAACGAGGGGGTGGTTCGATATCCCGTGGGCTTCCCTTTCGAAACAACGTCTATCGTGTCTGGAACATCGACGCAACCGCCTCAGGCAGCTGCGCTGGTCCCGGTCCGGCGCCGCCAGCAGGCAAAAGCTCTGCAGCTGCGTGAGGAAGGCCTCGCACATGTGCCCCAACTTGGAAGGACTTTGTACGCGGATATCATTTGGCACCCGCAATGCAGGAGAAAAGGTATCACCACAACACAGGTGGGCCCCTGCAAGTGGTATCTGCGAACTCATAGAACAACTTGTCATATCATTGCGGGAACT